AACTAAACTAAGACTAAATAATTACATCTCCAATATCAAAATATGTCAAATCTCCACCCAGGACAAAAGATAATACTAATAATGCATTATAACTCTAATGAAAAGTTAAGGACATTCCCTGTACAGACCTTATCTTCAGCAGAATGTACTTGTCAGGGATAAGGCCGTGTTTACCCTGAAATGACCCTTTCCACCAGTCGCCAGAGACCTGCGAGTGGAGCATCAACACATCTCCCTTGCAGAAGCTCAGTTCACGCTCCGACCGCGCTAAGAAGTCAAACTGTGCAATAGCTTCTAAAATCTCGCTCTCTGCAGGAGAAAGGGAACAAGAAAGGAAAATTACAAAACTACTTATGAGTCTGTATGAAAAACAAAAGCCAATCTTCAAAGTAAATTTCTTTACACTTACTGTACTCATCTCATCTAAGTGACTTTTTCTTTTCGTTTTCTTTTTTTTTTCTTTTTGTTTTATCATCATAAATTTCCTACAGAAGTTAAAATTTCTACCCAAAGGACAAACACAATTTATCTATTCCATACAGGAATATCACTGAAATAAATGTCAAAATCTCTCTATATTACAATGCTGGCAGTGTGGGTAATAAGTCTAAAAAAAATTCACACACACAAAAAAACTTACTTCCAAATATCTGAAGTTGAATGTCTTTGTCTCTAAATACAGAATCTGTAAGGATAAATCATGGATACAATAAAGGAACATGCAAACAAACACAAGAGAGGTATTTAAAAAAAAAAAGCTTCAGTGGTTATGAATTAATAATAATAAAAAAAATACATTTAAAAGAAAGGGTGCATTTACTCATTCAGAAAACAGTGGCATTCTTTTTTTTAAGCAATGTGACTTAGAGAAAAAAAAGGTAGAAAACAAAAAGCCACAACAGTAATCTTGAAGTGTGGGCATCATCTGGGTATTTTAGGGTAACAAAAGTATTGGAAATCAGAGACACAATACAAGTATACACATCTTGATTGCAAATCATCTACAAAAGTACTGCTGCGAAAGGGTAACATTCATTATGACATAACACTAAGCTTTAATCTTTACACCAACAGGTAAACTATATCACTGATAACTAATGCTTATTATTCTGCTACACTACTAAACACAATTATTATAAAGATACTGTTACATTGATCTGTCTGTAATTAGCTGCATAACAATATTAATGAGAACTAAAACACTATAAATACATTTTTTTGAAAAAAAAAAATCCTTTAATTATTATCATTATTATTATTATTGTGTATTATTATGGTATATGTCAAAAAAACATAAAAAACACACAACCCTAAAGCATCGTAGCATTATCATACTATCCTATGAGTGTAGTTCTGAATTTGACTCCTGGACAAATTGATATATTGAAAAAGAGATGAATTTCAATACAGTATTGAAGGAATACCATAAGAAAAAGCTTCTTCAATTTTCACCGGATAATTGGTGCTTCTGTTGAAAACTGGTGTTGTGATTACAGGTTTATTATAATGGAAAATAAATAAGTTAAATAATTGTGGTTTCAATTTTAGATTGATTTATAGACAAAAGACTTTGAAATGCATGCTTTAAAAGATAAATAAATAATAATAAAAAATTATAGCTCTCTGCAGTTATTCTGATATGATTTAATTTACATTTTCTTTGATATTTTAAGTGGGAAGTAAAAAAAAAAAAAAAAAATTGGTGTAAAAAATTTAAATGGCACACTAATATACCAAAAAGCTCATGGAAAGAAACCGCATACAAAAAGGAAAGAGCAAGCGCAGTGAGGCTAACCATGGCCAAGCTACCTAACTTCAAAAGACACCAACACAAAGGTTAAAGTCTCTCAGTCAGTCAGTCAGTCTCTCTCTTTCTCTCTCTGTCTCTCTCTCTCTCAGTCAGTCAGTCGGTCTGTCTCACTCTCTCAGTCAGTCAGTCGGTCTGTCTCACTCTCTAAGTCAGTCGGTCGGTCTGTCTCTCTCAGTCTCAGTCAGCCAGTATCTCTCTCTTTCTCTCTCTGTCTCTCTCTCTCTCAGTCAGTCAGTCGGTCTGTCTCACTCTCTCAGTCAGTCAGTCGGTCTGTCTCTCTCAGTCTCAGTCAGCCAGTATCTCTCTCTCTCAGTCTCAGTCAGCCAGTCCTCTCTCTCTCAGTCTCAGTCAGCCAGTCTCTCTCTCTCAGTCTCAGTCAGCCAGTCTCTCTCTCTCTCAGTCTCAGTCAGCCAGTCTCTCTCTCTCTCAGTCTCAGTCAGCCAGTCTCTCTCTCTCTCTCTCTCTCTCTCTCTCTCTCTCTCTCTCTCTCTCTCTCTCTCTCTCTCTCTCTCTCTCTCTCTCAGTCTCTCTCTCTCAGTCTCTCTCTCTCAGTCTCTCTCTCTCAGTCTCTCTCTCTCAGTCTCTCTCTCTCAGTCTCTCTCTCTCAGTCTCTCTCTCTCAATCTTAGTCAGCCAGTCTCTCTCTCTCTCTCTCTCTCTCAGTCTCAGTCTCTCTCTCAAAAAAAAAAAAAAAAGTGAGAGAAATCAAAAAAGCTACAATAAAACACTTGTCACAAGACTTGAAACTGATCACCGTCCATCATCCTCATCATACTGGACAGACAGACAGACTGACCTGTTTCCCTACTGCAACACTTACCATCTTCAGACTGTCCTTGTTCCGAGTCTACGTCATCGTGAGCTTCTGAGGGCGCATCACCCATGTCAGCATCTAGGTCTATCGAGTCCCGCGAGATGAATTTCTCATACGTGTGGCCCCCATCACCGGGGAAGATGTCCTCGCTGAAGATGATGATGTTCTTGATCAATTCGTTGACTAAGTTTTGGTACTGCACCTGGAACGACCACATTGTTGATTAATGCCTGAACTTTCAGAAATTTGATAAAGTTCATTAGTCTAATTTCCTGTTGTATAAAAAGGTTTTTTAAAAGGTTAAAAACTTAACTGCAATTCAGTCGATTTTAAGAGACACGGAGTTTATGCCTGAGATCCAATTATTCACTCTAAGTCAAGACTACATTTATACCCGCAATCAGGTTCTAAGATGAAAATTTTTAAAAACTATCTATTTACCTGGTCCTTGTCTTCAGGTATTGGCACCAGTGTGGGTCCAAAACATATAGCCAAGTTATAGGGATCCATCATATTCTCATCACTGAATTCTGACAAGCTGAAAGGGAAAAACAAAATATTAACAATGCTAGAAATACTACTGTTTGTAGCTGACTTCTTGAAAAGTGCTTCAAGATTAATACATTGCTGACTTATATACTGTATGTACAACTATCTATCTATCTATCTATCTCTCTCTCTCTCTCTCTCTCTGTATATATGTCTATCTATCTATCTATACCTGTGTGTGTATATGTATGTGTGTGTAAATGTATGTATGTATGTATGCATGTGTATATGTATGTATGCATGTGTATATGTATGTGTGTATGTATGTATGTGTGTATGTATGTATGTGTGTATGTATGTATGTGTGTATGTATGTATGTGTGTATGTAAGTATGTATGTATGTATGTATGTATGTATATACATATATCTATACATATATATACATATATATACATATATGTATCAATTGAAGGTTATGCAATAAAAAAAAAAAAAAAGGTAATGATATGAAGCCATGTCCAAAAATCTTATTTTCATCAGCTATTCTTTTCATCTGTGCAAAGTCCGTCCACTTACTGATTAAGGAATGCAAAGAGGTAGCGCATGACAATGAAGACTGGCCGAGGAAGACTGGTCACAACATCTCTCATCTTAACAACAAAGTCATGCTTCTTCTCTAACTCTGTAAACAAAGCCAGAGGATAATCAAACATTCTTGTAAATATTAATTACTAGTCAATATATTCTGGTCTTTTGAGGATACTGCATAAAAAAAAACATGCAGAATAGACAACCAAAACAAAACAAAACCATACAAATTAGTAAACAGCAACCTAACTACTCACGAGCAATCTCCATGAACTGGTCAAAGAAGACGGTAGGGAAGAGTGGTTCTCTGAGCTCTCGCAAGTACAACTTGAGGACACCAGCAACACTGTTGATGTCAGACGCATCGGTAACATCTGCCAGCGGATCTTCCATTCTCTCAAATGACTCACGGAAGTTGTTGATTTCCAGCTGCGACCCTGACACTCGGAAGATTCCTTGGTGGTGCAACCCTGCAATATAAGAGCATAATTATTAGTGTATGTTACATACTACAATTGGGTACATATTTCTGAACATTTGCCATACACAAAACTGCTTGTATTTGGTCTTATTAATATCAATCTAGTCCATAAAACTATAATGAAGTATATTTGACACAAGTTTTGAATGACATCACAAAATAACTCTGACCTCCGAGCAGAACAATAAACAATCCATAGTGCTGTATAAAGTTGCTCTTGTGAACACTTACCATAGAGATTGATGACTCTGATACAAGACTTCATTATTAATGGAATATCTTGACTTGTTGCCTCCAGGTACTCCTCTAATGATCCACCAAACAGCTTGGGTTGGCCCATCAGTGGGTTGCGCCCAATTCGCCTTCGACGTGGTTTGTTCACCAGGTTCCTGTTGACAAGGTTTTTTGTTTTTATTCTCTATCTACATTTAACTGAATAATTCATGAACTTCTTGCAAGCAAAATCATATCCAAAGAAGATAAGCTGTGTGATTAGTTGACATCATAAAAGCTTTAGTTCCTATTTACCTTGTTGGAGTGGGTGAAGAAGTTGTATGAGTTTCGTCTCCTAAAGCCTTGCGCATTAATTCATAACGTGCTTGTAGTCGGGTTATCAGGTTACCTCCTAAGACATACTCACGGAATTTCTGGAAATCAGATTATAACTATACATACCTTCTGTAATAACTTGTATCATTTTATATCCACATAGTGATAATTTAACCTTACTATATATACATATAAGAGACACAAGTCGGTGTAAATCATATCGCTTACCCCTAAGTAGAAATCTTCTGTTTCTTGTCTGTCTGCTTTCATTTTAATCAGCATAGACTCAGGTTGCTTGTTATCTGCACGAGGTTCGTCAATGAAGTAGTGCGCACAGTCATAGTCCCTCTGGTTGATCATCTCCATCAGCGTCTTTTCAGCAGTTTCAATGGTCTTCCATGTTTCCTCCGATTCTGTTTTGAGGCTCGTCAGTCTCGAGACTAGGTGCGCATACCGTTTCTCCATCTCCTCTTGTACTTGCCGATTAACTACCACCTGGTTCACCTGTTTCGCACTGGCATCCTCGTGAGTCTGGAAAGAGCACCACGTAAGTGCCTGCCATCGATTTGGGGGGAGGGAAGGTAAGGTTCATTTCCCTATTTACCATACATAATAAAAAATCTGCAACAACTATGAAGAAAAGAAAAGACCATGATGGGTTAACTAACGGTCTCGCTCACCTCATCTCCTTTATGGCCTTGGAACTCGAACTTCTTAGGGAGCATGAAGGCCGCATTGTTCTGCTCTAGGAATCTCTGCTTGTCTAGGCGAGAATCAAGGTTGTTGATAGTCTTGTTCAACTCGTCAATACCACTCTGCAAGCTCCTCCTGACACATTCTTGTCCGGACACATGTGTGAGGAGAGCACGGGCTATGCTACTGTGAAATCCAAAGTCCATACACTGGAAAAGAAAAGTAGCATTAAAACTAAGCCTTGGAAGTGATGAGAAAGTTAATAAGCATCCACATAAAGAATTAATCAAGCTGGCAAAGAACCATCACTGAAATAAATAAATCATATCATTCAGCATTATCACCCCAGTAAAGAACCACCATTAAAAAATTATCACAGAATAAAAAGATTGCTAAACACTCACATCAACAATATCTGATAAGTCCTCTACAAAGTACTTATGGATGGCAGCATTAGCAGAGTCCATAGAAAGGATGTACTCGTTGCGGGCTTTCAGTGCCTTCAGCTTAGCGTCCATGTATTTGTTGCTTCTCTGAAAGTGCAATTAAACAGATATTAAGGTTTTACTTCTTACACTGGAAGGGCCTTCTACTTTTCTACATGGTTAACGGATTTGCTAATGCATGAAAGTAGTTTTCAGGGGGGGGGGGGGGGGGGGGGGAGGCAATTCTTGGAATCAATCAAATCAAACTTAAAAACAGGGAAAATATGATCACCAAAGCATTTTGAGTTAAGATAAAACAAACAATACATAAAACTGTTCAGCAAGGTATAGACATTTTGATGAAAAAAAAATATATAGAGAGATGTAAGACATTCAATAAATATATACAGAGCAACATCTTACCTTCTGAATCTCCTTCTCGATCATACGGAACTTCTTGCTCTTTTCCAGCTTTTCCTTAGGGATGGCCTGTTCCAGCTTGGTCCTCTGGGCTTCGAAGTTCCTCAGCTTGGTCTCAGCATTCTTGAACTCTGTCTGATAAGTGTGGTAGGTCCGCATGGTGGTGTGCAATTCATGCAGTACCTTAAGCAGCTCTTCATGACTCTCGTAACCAATCTCTCGACACTGTATGCAAGAAAAAACAAAAAGATTAATAATAATAATAATAATAATAATAATAATAATAATAATAAAAAAAGCAGTTTAAAATAAGGCTGCCTTGAAGTGTAAATGTAACTTGTATATAACCCATTCTCATAAATGAATAAGATATCCATAACTAAAGACACACCCTTTTGTAGATTCTCTGCAAGTCGTCCTGCACTTGTGTAAATCGTGGAATGATGTTGTTGAGGTAGACATCCGCCATGGCCGCCTGGTCCCGCGCATCTTTTCTCGTTTGGTTTACTAGAGAATTCCAACAACTGTACACGCTGAACAACTGCAGCTGTTCACGCCTGAAAATAGAAGAAAATGTTTGCTAAATGACTATTTATGTCCAAAGTTCATAAGAGACTTTATAATAAACATAGAGATGCTGCACCGCTATATTTCATTACTTAATTCTTGGAGTCAAAGTACCAAATGTAAATATCAAGTGGAACATTCACAGCAATACCTAAAAACAATGCAAATTTTGTCTGATATTAAGAAATTTCATAAATACTACACATTCTGTGTGTTATCTTGGAAAGAATAACCTTAAGTATTTCAATAAATGAATTCAAACACTCTTATAAACTGACTCCTACATCACTAATATAGAAATATTCTATCATAAAATCTCAGGAATGTATGCTGAAATCACATGTCAAAATCTATTTTCACACTGCGGAGCTTTACAAAGGCACATTGAATGCAAGCCCATGAACCAACTGTGAAAGGGTTCACTTCATGATCAACCAATGAATATACATACAACAGTTCTCTTACTGTAAATGAGGCCCTATTTGCAGTCCAAACAACATGACTAAAGCAATTTTATCTGAACAGACTTTCTTCTATAAAAAAAAAAAAATAAAAAAAAAAAAAAATCCATGGACTTCCTTCTGGTATCAGATACAGATGGGGAGCCTTTGTTTCTTCTTCTCTTTTAACATTCTTTAAAGTAAATGCATGAGTGATGCGAGGG